AAAATCAGACTCTCTTCTGCATAGAAACCAATCAGCTTCCAGGTTTCATTGCCAAAGCTTCATTGAACAAGCTGAGGTTAGAAGCTGATTGGTTTCTATGCAGAAGGGAGTCTGATTTTGGACTCTCCAGCTTTAGTAAATCTCCCCCAGGTGTCTCGGGAGGATTAAGACTGGGCGGGGCTTCCGTCACGCAGTGGGAGTCGGTCATACTAATTATAGCCAAAAGGGGAGTTTGGAGCTGATCTTGACCTGGAAGGCATTCACCTGATGTGAGGTCATTTGGAGGATACTATTAAGAGGAATCCGGTCTTGGAGGGTCCATCAGTGATCCCGAAAGCTTGTAGGACCTTTTTTAGGGTCACGGTAAGGAGCCAGTTTAGCTGTTTGTGGATTCATCACCAAAGGCTGCAACACACAAGATCACCTGCATGTTTTTGTACCTTTGTGGACATCGGTGTCACATATCGTTCGGCCGACTTGTGTTTAGTATTATTCAGATTGCATTTTTATATGTTTATTTTTGATTATATTTTTCACTAATATCATTGTATATGTCGTTTGGAGTGTTTGTTAGCACTGAGCACTTTTTCACTATTATTAGTTCCCCATCCCCCAGTGCTGGGGTCACATGCGGGTTCCACTATTTATATACATATTTTTGATTGAACATTTAGCACTGCATTGTGTTTAATTGGATCCCAATAGGTCGGGTGCAGACTGTTGGTTTATGTTCCCCATTTTTTACACTTGTATATCCCATAAGGGATGTGGTCACTATCTTCGTATTATTTACACATTTATTATTTATTAGAGCGCTACACCCCCCTTTTTTTTTTTTTTTTTTTTTTTTTTTTTTTTTTTTTTTTTTTTGTCAATGTAACATGGTTTCCTATGGGACACATTCACATCTTTGCGTTTTCAGCCGCTGCGTTTTTGAAAAGGGTCAGGGAATTTTTTTTTTTTTTTTTTTTTTCCTGCAGCAGCTTGTGTTTTCGTTGCAATAAACTTCAGTGTAACCGCACCGAAAATGCAATCTGCTGCGGGAAAAAAGTCTCTGACAAGTGTTGCGTTTTTGCACTTTTTTTTTTTGGCATTGCAGTTTTGAGTGTGACTTTCATGCGACTTGACACTCTCTGGCACTCACATCGCATTAAAGTAGTGCAGGAACCTTTTCAAAAATCATTGCAACTTTGAAAAGATTCCTGCACTACTTTGATGGGAGTTTGATGTGACTTTACGCTCTCTGGCGCTTAAGATGCACCAAAAATGCATCAAAGTAGCGCAGGAACCTTTTTAAAGTCGCTGTGACTTTGAGAAGGTTCCTGCACTACTTTGATGCGACTTTGAGTGCTGCAGAGGGTAAAGTCACGCACAATACTTTCCTACTTGAAAAAATGCATCAAAAACGCCCTGGAAAAAACACATCAATCTCAGCACGCATAGGTGTGAACCAGGCCTGAGGGCACCGTAACCTGTCCTCCTCCTTACTTTTTTTTTTTTTTTTTTAATTTAAAAATGTATAAATTTTTCAGATAAACAAGTTATACAAACATACTCATTAAAACTTTAGCATATTATCAAAACATTTATCATTTCATACCTTTCCCCAGCCCCCCCTCCCCCCCCCAGCCAATCCCTAACCCCTTCTGTCTGCATTTTCCTGTTCATTTCTGGAGATCGTAATCCCTATAAAAGAACAAAATATAGGGCAGCACAGTAGCTAAATGGTTAGCATGTCCGCCTGTCAGTACTTGGGTCGTTTAGTTCAAATCCCAGCCACGGCACCACCTGCCTGGAGTTTGCATGTTCTCCCTGTGCCTGCATGAGTTTCCTCCGGGTACTCTGGTTTCCTCCCACACTCCAAAGACATGCTGGTCGGTAAATTGGCCCTAGCATGTGTATGTATGAATGTGAGTTAGGGACCTTAGATTGTACGCTCCTCGGGGGTGGGGACTAATGTGAATGTACAATATATATGTAAAGCACGGCGTAAATTGACGGCGCTATATAAGTACCTGAAATAAATAAATGTTTTTATGTTATTCTATGTTCATCCCCCATAACCTCTAAGGTTAGCCTTGATTTTTTTAAATCCTCCCATTTTTCCATCTTGTATGGTGACTCTCCATCTTATCTTCATTCAAATGATAAAGTTCCTCTAATTTACATGTTTGATCCCCCAGTCCTTTATTTCCGTCCTCATTACTGATCCGCTTTTTGCTGCATCCACCTCGGAGCTGCACACATGCAGCCCATAGATGTGGGTGGAAATGCTGCAGCTGCACTGACATAACTGCATGTGACATGCGGGTGCACGGATCCGAACACACGGGGAGATTTGCTACAACGAATGCACACAGAATCTGGTGCAGCTGTGCATGGTAACCAATCAGCTTCCAGGTTTTATTGCCAAAGTTTAATGGAACAAGGTGAAGTTAGAAGCTGATTGGTTACTGTGCACAGATGCACCAGATTCTGAGTGCTTCAGTTTTAGTAAATCTCTCCCGCTGTGTCTACATTTGGATCTGTCCTGTCCGCATTTCATATTTTGATATGCGACGGTGTCCGTGCTGCATCTGCATCCACTTCTATGGGTTGCCTGCATGCAGCTCTGAGGTGGATACAGACGCAGCAAAAAGCCGCAGAGCATGGAGGACGGGTCTCTGCGCCCATCTGAATGAGCCCTAAACGTAAACCTGTTCTATTTCCAAATCCAATAAACTTTCAGCAGCTCAGGAAGGCATGGAGACTGCGCAAATGTTTTATATGTACCTGGGGGAGCCCCTGATTGCTTGGTCGCTGGTCCTGAAATTCTTCATGTGGGGCCCGGGCCCCCACTGGCCTCCTACAGTGCAATCTGGCAGCTCTCTGAGAAACCTTTCACACTGATCCGCCGCAAAAGCTCCTCATTTTTGCCGCGGTTTTTAAAGGACACCTGACTTAATACTGAACCAAAAATGCTTCTCAGGCGTTTTCCATTGATTTCAATGGGAAGAGGTGTTTTTTTGGGTTTTTTTTTTTTTTTTTTTTTTTAACTCCCCAAAGATGCTGTAAGCAGGAGTTTCTGCACTGCAACGCCCCATTTTTTGTTTCATTTTTACCGCGTTTTTTTTTTTTTTTTTTAAAGGACACCTGGCGTAAAATTGCACCAAAAACGCTTCTTGGGTGTTTTTTTCAGGAATTTTCTATTGATTTCAATGGCAAGAGGCGGTTTTGGGACTTTTTGAACTCCCCAAACTTGCCCCAAAGATGCTGCAAGCAGGAGTTTTTACACCACAACTGCAACGTCCTGTTTTTTTGCTGCGTTTTTGCCGTGGTTTTTAAAGGACACGTGACTTAAAACTGTACCAAAAACACTTTTCAGGCGTTTTCCATTGATTTCAATGGGAAGAGGTGTTTTTGGGGCGTTTTTTTTTTAACTCCCCAAACATGCCCTAAAGATGCTGCAAGCAGGAGTTTTTGCCCTGGAACACAACGCCTCATACATAGATATACATTCACATACATAGGGAAGCAGTTTTCTTGAGCTTTTCAAGCGCTTTTTTTAACGCAAAAACGCTTGAAAAAAACTCCTGAGTGTGAAAGCCGCCTAATGGCTACTTGGGCTTCACATTCACGAAGCAATAATAAAGTGCTTGTTAACCAATAACTTTTTTTGCTATGGGGGCTCCCGAGTTGACTGTGTAGCCCCGCCCCCTACGTCCTCCTCACTGGCTGTGATTGACAGCAGCTGCTGTCTCTGAACCTATGAGGAGGGAGAGAGCACAGTACTGGATCAGGGATCGGCCTCAGGTAAAAGTACAAAGGAGAGCCCTGGAGGGGAGGGGGGTGCACTCCAGAATGTTTTTTTTTTTTTTTTTTTTTTACCTTAACGCAGAGAATGCATTCTTACTTTTACAATCACTTTAACCCCTTGATGTGGCCTCTCGGTGGCTGGGCCTTGACGCTGAGCAGCCGCACATTTGAAAACGCATATGGGCTGAGAAGCGCGTGCCCTGCTCGCTCCCAGCACATATGTCGGTGTCTCACGGAAACGTCCCGATCTCCCCTTTCGATTGGGACCTTTTCCAATCATGTGACAGCGAATCAAGGCGATCACATGACCCTAAAACCGCGTCTGCCTCCTGGCATCCAAAACCTCTTAGAGGGCCGGGAGGTGCCGGCACGAAGAGGTTAACCTCTTCACGCCGGCCGAACACAAATGTGTGGCCTCCCCGCGTCTGGGCCTAGACGCCGAGCAGCCGCACATTTTGCGTTCTATTAAAAAAATGACACGTGCCGAGAGCGCGCGCCCTGTGCGCTCCCAGCACACATGTCCGGTACCTACGGAAAGGTCCTGATGTCTTCTTTCAATCAGGATCTTTCCCGATCATGTGACCACCGTAACGGTCACATGATCCTAAACCCAGCCCTGCCCCCCGGCTTCTGAAACCCTTAAAGGGCCGGGAGGCGCCAGCGTGAAGGGGTTAAGGAACTAAAGTCTTTTTTGCAACTAAAGTGTTTTTCAGCAGAGTTTGTACTTCATTATGCTTGCAGCAAGCCGTTTGAATTCTGTTTTACAGCAGCTACATATATAATTTTTTTTTTTTTTTTTTGTTTTTTTTTAGGTTGGACTATCCTGAAGGTCGGATTAAAAACGCACGGTGAGTCGCACTGCAAGTGCCGATTACACAGCGACGTGATCGCAGATAATCCTTTACATTACCATATGCAGTTTTATATAAATACAGCCATTTGTTCTCTTAAAGAACCCAACGCAACTGGTGCGTGTAGAGGGGGGAGTGGTTGGGGCCACGAGGACTCAGGATTATGTATTATGGAGAAAATAGGTTGCATTAAAAAAAATTGAATTTTAAATGTTGCTGAAATTTTTAGGCATTGTAAAAAAAGGCAGTTTGCGTGTGTGTGGTGTCTGTTTTTTTTTTTTTTGTTTTCATGATTTGATTGTCTTCTGTTTCAGGGAGGCACACAGTCAGATTGAGAAGCGGCGCAGGGATAAAATGAACAGTTTCATAGACGAGTTGGCATCTCTAGTGCCCACGTGTAACGCCATGTCACGGAAGCTGGATAAGCTGACAGTACTGCGAATGGCGGTGCAGCATATGAAGACGCTACGAGGTGGGTGGCCTCGTGTACACAGAGTCACAATCTGCACTGAAATTGGTTCACTCTTATGGTATATAAATGGGTAGTTGTCAGGACCAGGTCAGCAGAGCCTGGATCCAGCCTCACTGTAGCCCCTCCCCAATCCTCCCTGTCTCTGCTTTGACATTAGTATTCACTATAAGGCTCCATATACACGGGACACTTCTGAATGATTGAAACTGACTGCTGGAAAATGTAGGTTAAAAAATGTCTGTTTCGCTGCGTTTGCAAAATGCGTTTATGCGCAATTGCGTTTAGAATCGTTTTTTTAAAGATAAGCAGAGGAGAACCTCCCAAATGCCCAGAATGCACTGAAAAGTGGTCAATTAACTATTTCAGACTGTTTCAGAGAAATACAGAGAGTAGAAGCAGAGACAGCAGTATGTGTTGAGATTAGCTTAGGTGTGAGTTGCTCATTAACATTTCTTTTGTTTCCAAGGGTGGGAAAGGTGTCTGGTGGAGAGAGTCATTAAGGCCACCTGGCAGGGGGTCTGCATGAGGAATTTGAAGTGTGAATGGTCATTAACATATCTTTTGGCTTGCTTGGGTTTTAGCAGTGGTCTCCAAACTGCGTCCCGGGGGCTGGATGTGGCCCTTTGCTTGCCTTTGTGTGGCCCTTGGGGCACTATTCCACCAAATGACTCCAATATTGGAGCTGCATTGCCCCTACTCACACCATCAATGAGGTACTATGCTTCTCAATGGGGAACTATTTCTCCCATTAAAACCAATGATGGGGCACTAGTGCCGGGGCGGTTTTGGCTCCCACTGGCCCTCCTAAAGCCTGAAGAACAGTAAACTGGCCCTTTGCTTGGGTAGTCTGGAGACCCCTGGGTTATAGGAACCACAACTGCATTAGGTGATGCTATACTGAGTTTTAGGACCTCACAGGATAGCTTTGCCAAGGCACTCTTCCAAGGTGTGATGAGGAAGATCTTTATTTGCCTAGAATTGCATGGTGGTGCTATCCACCAACTTACTACAGGAACTGAGGGCAAGCCTGTAAGGAGTGAGAGGGATACAATACAACTTTCCTTTTTACCTCTGCTCTGTCCTCTGTCCTTGCAATATCCATCCCAAAAAATTTACCGGGTGAACAGTCTTTGGGATTCATGTAATGTTTCCTTTCCATCTACAGGTGCTACAAACCCATACACAGAAGCCAACTACAAGCCGTCCTTCCTATCAGACGATGAGCTAAAGCACTTGATCCTCAGGGTGAGTTGGTATTATTGTGTGTGTTTTTATGTGTTCTTTTTTATATTCACCCGGCCACAGCCAAGTGTCCGAGAGCTCATAGAAACAGCGAAAAGTGACGGCAGAAAAAAGACCGAGTGGCCATAGAGCCTGCCTGCTCTTTGGTTTTGATGGGTTAAGGACCTCCTGCAGCCCTGTCCAGCTCTCTGAGAGTAAATTCTTGTCTCATGGAATCTCCTCCATGCTCTTGAGACTGTGCTGGGAGACACAGCAAACCTTCTGGCAATGACACGTATTGATGTGCCATCCTGGAGGAGTTGGACTGCCTGTGTAACCTCTGTAGGGTCCAGGTATGGCCTCATGCTACCTGTAGTGACACTGACCCTGGCCAAATGCAAAACTAGTGGGGAAAAAAAAAAACCCACGCTCTGAGGAATTTACACACTTGACGAATTTAGGTGTTCAATAGCCGTCATTCAGATCTTGTAGGGCTGGGTTGAAGGTGATTGGTGCCTGAGGGACATACATCTATTTCTTCATTAAGAACACATTGGGGGAGTTTTACTTAAACTGGTGCACCAGATGGTACATTGCAAGCAGAGTGTTAAAGCCTCATCTCTTGCAAGGCACCTCGTCCCCAAATTGAAGGGACAAGCGCTTCTTCTCCCACATCCAAAGCCACAAGAGAATGTGGGAAGGCTTTTAGGAATCTGGAAGCCATATTCTAATAATGGGGGGGGGGCCTGATACCTGCCCACCCTCAGGGGAATGCATTTAGTGTATACTTCTACCCTAAAAAATGTGAAATGCAAATAAACTCATATCATGGCAAAGTCCCTTAATAAGAATAGCCAAATAAAAAAAAAAAAAATTAAAACCATGTCCCCCAAGGTAGATCCATTTCCCATTATCACAAACCAAGAATGCGTAGTGCACCAACTCCTCATCCAGACATATAAATAAAATAATCTTCCAGTAATCCCATGCAAGATAAATCCACACTACAATAAAGGTCCAACTCCCAAATCACTGAATGTCCAAAGTAGTGCGGTTTAACAATCACTTTTCCAGAGGAAGTGGTGTGACCAGTGGCGTAACGTGTGGGTGGAGCCTAGTGACGTCACTTCTGGTATTTTTCTAGACAAAGGGCCAGTTTACAGTCCTTCGGACTTTAGGGGGGCTTGACCGTGGCCATTGGGAGTAGAAAAGGTTGGAAAAAACCATGCCCCAATTTTGGTGTCATTTGGAAGGGATTGTGCAAGAAGCGCCATGCTTTGTGAATGGCCCCGTAGTCTTCTGGGACCTGTCAGGTGTCCCAAAAGACTACGGGGAGGGAGGGGTAGGACAACTTCAGTTTTGGATTGCCTTAGGCCAAGGCTCTCCAAACTTTCTAAACAAAGGGCCAGTTTACCGTCCTTCAGAATTTATGGGAGCTTGACTGTGGCCATTGGGAGAAAAAAAGTTCCTGACCTCAGTTGGAAAAAAACAGTGCCCCATTTTTGTTGTCATTGGAAGGGATTGTGCGAGAAGTGCTGCGCTTTGTGAACGGCCCAGAAGACTATGGGGAGGCAGGACAACTTCCGATCGCCTAGGCCAGGGGTGTCAAACTGGCAGCCCTCCAGCTGTTGCCAAACTACAAGTCCCATCATGCCTCTGCCTTTGGGAGTCGTGCTTGTAACTGTCAAGATTGCAATGCCTCATGGGACTTGTAGTTTGGCAACAGCTGGAGTGCGTCCAGTTTGACACCTAGGCGATCGCAGCGGAAGTGGGAGCGAGTACCTGTCAAATTCGGGTACCCGCTCCCCAAAGGTGCCAATCCTTAATGGGGAGCGGGGGACAAAGCATTAAAGCGGAACTTCCCCTTTTGGGTGGAGCTCCGCTTTAAGTGTGCTCAGCTGCAGGAAGCCCTTGGATACTGTCCTTTTACTTAAAAAAAAAAAAAAAAAAAAAAAAAAAAAACTCTTGATTTCCTGACATCTTTATTACATACCAGTCAAGGCATGGTAGTATTCTCGGGGGACAGCATGACAAAGGTAAATGTTAATCTTTCCAAGCTTGCTTGATTGTCCCGGCTATAGTAAAGGAGATGATTTATGCTCAGCAGGCACCTATTCTTCGATGTGCAGATACAGAGAGCTGCTTAGACTGGTGTCCCTGCTATGTAAATGGCTGTGACTGGCAGGGAGAGGTTAATACGGGGTGTCAGTGGGTGGTATACGGTCACATAAAGGAAATGATGTAACACTGGCAGCACTGAGTCACAGGGTGTAGGCGTCTGACATTCCCAGCAAAGTATGTCTATAACCCGGGCTCTTCTATTTTGCATCCTCTGTCCTTTTTGTTTTGTGTTTTTTTTTGCCTATTCTTCCATTTTGTTTGTTTAACCCCCTTCCTTACTGGGCACCCCCTTCCTGCCCAGGCCAATTTTCAGCTTTCAGTGCTGTCGCACTTTGAATGACAATTGCGCGGTGATGCAACTCTGTACCCATATGAAATTTTTAGCATTTTTTTCAGACAGAGCTTTTCTTTTGGTGTTGTTTAATCACCTCTGGGGGTTCTGATTTTTTGCTTAACAAACCAAAACAACTGAACGTTTTGAAAAAATTTTTTTTTCTTAGTTTCTGTTGTAAAATTTTGTAAATAAGTGATTTTTCTCCTTCACTGATGTGCGCTAATGAGGCTGCACTGATGAGGAGGCATTGACGGGCACTGAAAGGCAGCACTCATATATGGCACTGATAGGTGGCACTGATGGGCACTGAGAGGCGGCACTGACAGGGACTGATAGGCGTCACTGGTAGGTGGCACTGATGGGCATTAACAGGCATCACTAACGGGCAATGAAAGGCAGCACTCATATGTGGCACTCATATGTGGCACTGATTGGTGGCACGATTGGTGGCACTGATTGGTGGCACTGATTGGTGGCACTGACTGGCACTTATATGTGGCACTGATGGGCACTGACGGGGCTACACTGATCATCAGTGCCCTGATGATCGGTGTACATGTCCCCTCTGAGTAATGCCAATTACCGGCTCTCCTCTTCTCTGTCAGCGTGACAGCTCGAGAGGAGAGAAATTCCGATAACCGGCATCTCCTTATTTACATGCGATCAGTTGTAATTGGACGCAGCTGATCACATGACAAAGCCGACGTCATCGGCTCTTTCTGTTGATCGGTGATCCGCTGTGTCCCAGAGATACAGCGCACCACTGATCGCCGCGCTGTGCGCCCCCCGGAGGCACGCACACTCGGTTAGGGTAGGAGGATGTCATGTGACGTCCTCCCAGAATGAGAGAACCGCCGTCCGTCATTACCTTTTATATGGCGGGCAGAAGGCAGTTAAAGGGGTACTCTTCAATTAGATCAATTCGATACGAGACTATACCATGGCAAGCAGTACAAGCCGCAGCTTGCCTGCCTTGGTGTACTCAAGCAATGCCAAAGGTGAAAAGAAAGCTACCGCGCGCCGCCTTCGGGTTAGAAGTCTGTTTTCTTGGGGGACACCTAATCCTGAGGTCTGTCCCTCTATAGACTGGGGATTCCTATCTCAGCCCATCAGTCTGTCTGCAGCCCAGTGCACAGTGAAAGGATTCACTGCCCTTCCCCTCCCCTGCTGCTGTCTGCAGAGACAAGGAGGTCAGAGAGTGCAGAGCTGCCATTATGTGTAGTAATAGACCGCATTCACAGCCAAGGTCACATGGTAAATGGATGAGAAGACACGAGCACAGTTACATCGTCACTTTGCTGATTTCTGTGTTCCTTGCTGCCTCCACTCCCAGTAGCCGTATCCGTGCCAGAAGTGTTCCCCTTTAAAGATCAGAGAGCATCTACAAATAATACCATTCGAAATCCTTCAGCTAGAGATGTGTTCTACAGAGAGAGATTTCTTGTCTTTAGTATGTTGGGGGTTTTGTATGATATGATCCAGAACAAAAGAGAAGGATCTTTAGTCTCCCCTTACATCAGTGTTCCCACTAGGGCACCCCCTTATATCAGTCTCAGCCCCCACCCCCTTACCTCAGGGTCCCCCACCAGAGTCCACAGTTACATCAGGGACCTCACCAATGTTCTCTAACCTGGCAGCGGGGTTCTCCACCGTGACATCGGGGTCCCCAGTGGGGTTCTCCATCCTGACATTGGGGCCCCCTACCCTGACATCAGAGCCCCCAGTGGGGACCACCACCCTGACATTGAGGCCCCCACATCAGGGCCCTCCATCAGCGTCCACCACCTTGAGATCGGGTCCCCGCCCCCCCTCCCCCCCCCCCCCCCCCCCCCCCCCCCCCCCAGGGCCCTCCACCCTAACATCAGGCCCCCCCATCAGGGCTCACTACCATGACATCAGGTCTGCCCCCCCCCCCCCCCCCCCATCAGGGTTCTCCCCTTACCTGGAGCAGGTCTGGTGAGGGCATTCCTTCCTCCTCTGAACAGGGCAAGCATGTCATTGGTTTCTATCACACTGGCAGTCCTACCAACCAACCAACAGGCATAACAGCACAGCATGGGGGGGGGAACCTGCACTGGAGACTGTAGGGGCAGGGAAAGAAGCAGAGGCCGTAGGCAGCCTCTGCTGAACTAAATGCTCAGTCTGTGCACATTGAGGATTCCCCACTGACCCCAACTATGGGCTGTATAAAGTCTTGTAACGGGGCAGATGTGACCGGCAGGCTGTGGTTCGGGGACTCTGTATCTTCAACTGGTTTATATTCATGGATGGTATTTGTTTCTCCTGTCCTGCAGGCAGCGGATGGATTCCTCTTCGTGGTCGGCTGTGACCGTGGAAAAATCCTATTTGTGTCAGAATCGGTTTTCAAAATTCTCAATTATAGCCAGGTACGCCAGATCTTCCAATGTGTCTCCTTTTCAGCTCATTACCCTGATCCCGATATGAGGCTCCCAATACCTGCATGTGTTTACAAATGTTGGAGATTTCATTGTAAAATTCATGTGCATTGAAAGGCATTTTTGGGTTCAGTTCCATGCGGTTTCTGTGCCTCTCACATGCTGAAAGTAATACAAATACAACTTTCCTCGCCCTGAAAGCCGCTAGCTGACGTTTTGCACGACTGGCGGCTCTCTGTCCTGGCGGCTCTCTGTCCTGGCGGCTCTCTGTCCTGGCGGCTCTCTGTCCTGGCGGCTCTCTGTCCTGGCGGCTCTCTGTCCTGGCGGCTCTCTGTCCTGGCGGCTCTCTGTCCTGGCGGCTCTCTGTCCTGGCGGCTCTCTGTCCTGGCGGCTCTCTGTCCTGGCGGCTCTCTGTCCTGGCGGCTCCCTGTCCTGGCGGCTCGAGTCCTCACTGATCTAGAACCAACCAGAGTAGTATGTATTCCCTGTGTCATCTACAGTATATCGTATTTATCACTTGCAGGCTAGAGGCTTCTATATGGAGAGAGGCTGCTCAGATCTCACTACTGTGTATAGCAAAACTCTGCCACACACACAAAAATAATATGCAAATTATACATAAAAATATAATAATAATTGAATAAGTGTGCGCGCGCGTGTACGTACATTGAGTAGGTGTCTTTTACCGCCAAAACATCCCCGACCCACAGAGGCATGGACCCCACTAGACCTCTGAAGGTATGCTGTGGTTTTTGGCACCAAGCTGTCAGCAGCAGATCCTGTAAGTTTGTGAGGTGGGGCCTCCATGGTTCAGACTTTTTCAAGCTCAGCCCACAGGTGCTCAATGGATTGAGATCTGGAGAATTTGGAGGACAAGTCAACACCGCAAACTTGTTTTGTTCCTCAAACCATTTTTTTACAGTGTGGCAAGGTACATTATGCTACTGAGAGAGTCCGCTGCCAACAGGGAATACCGTTTGCATGAAGGGGTGTGCTTGGTAACCAGTAACGTTTAGGCGGGTGGGACGTGTTAAAGTAACATCCACATGAAAGGAAGAACATACTGCGTGTGTGCGTGCGCGCGTGTGTGTGTGTGTGTGTGTGTATATGTATATATATATATATCAGTGTGTGAATATATAATATATAGTGTGTGAAA